AGAAGAAGGCTGGAAGCCAGGAAGGAAGTTAGTTGGTAACATCGCCTATTCTTGCTGCCTTTTATTCTTCAGCACGTACATTATCTCACACTGTCAAATTCACCTCGTTCAAAATGTTCCTGTCCAACAAACTGTGTCCACGCAGCCAGTCGGCCTCTTATCGCCTTTTAATCCACTGTGATCTTCCACTCTCCCTTGAAGGGGTGTGGCATGGCGAAGCGATCCTCCTCCCCATTTCTACATCATGTGTTTTGTTCAGGCACCTCATCCAAAGTCTTCATGAGCCATGATTTCATCATCATCACCACCACCAGTGAGCAGTGTTGGGGGTGGGTGGTGCCTGGGTGAGGGTATCATTCCAGTTGAGTTTTTACCATTTTAAAATGTTCAGTTTCAGTTTTTAGTTTTGATTGTTCATTTAGTATTTTTAACTGTTACTATATGGAGGTTCTGCACAGGTATTAGAATAAGAACACAGCACCTTTTCAGTGCAGATGACTCAATAAACAGATGCACCAAAGACTAAAACTAAAGCCTGTAAATTTTATATTCCAACATATTTTATGTTATTTCAGTAAATTTTATAAGTGTACAACATTATTTCAGTGCATCATCTTTTTTTCCCCTCTCTGTCCAGTCACCATCTTTTACTTTCAGCTAGGATTCTTCTCAGTCTACCTGCCAAAGAATACTTAATATCTCGCACACTTATTTCTTTATTATAAAATTTTCTCCATATTTTCAGCACCACCCACCCCATCAAAAATGTAATTTCCCTTGGTGTGTATTCTAACTCATCTGCTTCGTGCCAGTTTTTATGAATGGAGCTGGTTTTATTGTGAAGACACCATCAGGCTTCACAATAGCAGACACCACAGCTGTATTCATTATTTAATCCTGGATTACATTACATTACATTATGTCTTGTAAAACTAAGATTTGTCATCTCCCCTTTTGTCCTTCCTGGTGCTATAGTGGAACCAAAGACTGCCCAACACAGC